TACTGCAGGTAACAGCGTTTGCGTCAGCAGGGTCAAATAAAGAGATGTTCCCTTTCAGCTCAGAGTCCAACCTCAGGATCAGTGAGAAAGTCATGTCTGCTGCGTGCACACCTTGTGGTCAGCCTGTTGCATCTGTTGGCTCTCCTTTCTGGTTGTTCTGCTTTCTGGAGAAGTTTGATACTGAGTTCAGTTTTTTTTTTCCAGGTCTGGGTAAATATGGACAGACCAGAGAGAAAGATTTGAATTTCCTGGCACGCTTTCTAAATGTTATAACTTTGGTTCCACAAAGACGAACCCCATTAATTCTTGTTTTTTTATCCTTCATCACTTCTGTCTTACAAACTAAAGAAATATGAACGTTCACTGTTTCACAGCCAGGTCTGGGTGACAAACATTATTTCCATACTTTAATCTCTCTGTCAAAATGTTGTGACCTTATGTGCTTGTGTCTTATATATAGAGAGGTTTTTTTTTTTCTTCTTTGTCCTTGTGGTCCCTCTTTTCTGTCAAAGTCTGAGTTTCACAGATCTGCAGTGTTTTCAAAATTAACATTTCTGCTAGTCTGAGTTCAGAATTGGTTAGTAAACATGTATTAAGATAAACAAAGTTCACCTTAGACCTTATAGTTTGTGGTAAAGTCACACAACTGAAGAGTTGTGCTGTTGTGAGGCAGCAGCTGTTCTTTTTATAGCTTAAACTCAAACCCAAGAATACAAGATGTCAGTAAGACATTCTGTTGACTTTTATTTATAAAACCACAGAGGATACAAGAGCCATTTCTCTTCTTCACTACAGAAGGCAATACAGACAATCCAGAATTGATATTTATTTTTAACTTAATAGATATTAGATTTTGAATAGTCACTTTAATATTGGTTGTCTTCACATGAAGGTTTATATGAAATGCATCTGATATTTCTGCAGAAATTTAAGTTTATTTGAAAAGGATAAAGAATGGGCTCTTTTAAATTAGAAAATTTGTTTTTTGACAAAATACATTAATGAAATGTAAAATACAATCGTGCACAATGATGGTGCAAAGATATTAGTTACACAGATGTTTTTTTTTTTTCTGTATTGCACATTGCACCAAAAAACAAATATTCATTGTCTCAGTTTAAAACCTGCATATAATTTAAATTATAAGCTAAGCTTAAGTGCTTAAATACGTTTGTCCTATTTTCTGTCATCCATAAATCTGTCCAGTCAGTACCACAAAGACGAACCCCATCAACCTCGCTAACAGTTTGAGATTAGCTTAGACCTGAAATTCAAACCTGACGTCTATCATGTGGGTCACTGGAAGCTAACTGAACCCTGACCAACAGCGCGTTGGCTTCGAGTCACCATAACTTCACATCATTGAGTTCCAGGTCTCCCATGATCTCCAGCTGGTCGATACTGCTCAGGTCCTGCACCCGGTGTCTGAACTCAAACAGGTGTGACCCGTTCACTGCCAGCTTGAACTGATGGGGCTGACAGAGCAGGAGCATCTGGAGAGGGAAGAAATGTTGAGGAATACTAATCCAGAATGCACCGAGGTGAAAGTTCAAAGATGAACTGACCAGAATTGGGTCACTTTTTCTTCTCGTCGGTGAATGATTTTGTCGTAATTTGTAATGTAAATGTGTTCAATGACAGCTATTAAGGTAAAAATGGGAAATCTAATTTGTGCATCTCTAAAATCTTGAAAGTTGCTGGTTTCTCCTACCTCAAAGTATTCGCCCGGCGAGAAGGGAAAGAAGGGCAGCTCCCTCTCCTCCTGACCCCAGGATCCGTCCAGGTACGAGTTCCTGATGAACACGCCTGACTTCATGCGGGGGTTCAGATGGAGAGCAATGTTCTCCGTCTTGCTGTTGCAGAGGTTGACTGTGAAACTGGAACACAGGTAAAAATATGTGTATATTTCTTTTTCATAGAATGTGATGGATACTAGATTAAGAAAAGAAAAATCTTACTAAAATAATTTAGCTACATTACACAATTTGTATTATTCCATAGAATGTTATCACATAATTGTAATGTGATGAATGAAAAGTTCAGAGAATTTGAATACATTTACATATTATCAATCATTTGTTTACCTGTGAGGGTACATGCTGACCTGTCCTTTTATTGTGATGTGCTGTCCTGGGTTCAGTCCTTTGAGAATACTGCCTTTGTAAGGAAGACCCTGTAACAACAACATTAACTCTCACTATTATTTTTCTCCCAAGTTTGTCACATGATCTTCTATGACTGAGCTGAATACAGTAGTGCATATATAAGGTGTTCACAGCGCTTCCTTCATTTTATGTCACATTCTTATTGCAAATTATACTGACGTCATGTCTCAAAATTCTTCATACAAAGGCTCCATTATAACATGTGGAAAAAAAGTTTAAAAGGCTGTGAATAAATGTGATTTCCTGGTTTTATAATTTTGCAAAAATTTCAAAAAGCTCCACAATGTCACAATGGGGTATTTGGTGTGTAGAATTTTTAGGCAATAGATTAATTTATTACAATTAGAAATAAGTTTGTAATATAAGGAAAAACAAAGCGCTGTGAATCCTTTCCGGATGCACAGAGCATCCGCTATTTACAAATATTGCAAATATAACGTTAAGGGTCTGTATTCTCAGAGTTTTAGATTAAGGGTGACCGAGTCAGCTGCTGAGAGTGACTGAGCGATGAGTCAACAGAAATTCCTGTCTTAGTGAAGAACGTGATCGACCGCATGACACCGTCTTCTACGGTTGATACACAAAACGACAAAAATACCCTTTATGAAATCAGCTGATAGTATTAACTGATCATTGAGTTTAGACTAGGTGTTAAAAAAAAAAAAAGTAGCATGAAGATGAAACTTTGCAAAATTGAATTAATAACCACACAACACCATAGTAACTATAGCTTATTTACATCATTGTTTCATTGATTTGTGGGATTCATTGAGAATACCTGCCCAAATAAACTGTGATAAACTCTACAGCATGGTAAATAAGCTTGGGTGACCACGGACCCATAAACATTCAGGACGTGTGATGTAGTTTTTATTGCATCATAAGACACCATGGAAGTTCTAACTTCATGGACCTGCTAAAAAACAGAAGAAACTCACCAAATCACCTGACTCTGAATATATTGCCTAAAAGAGAAAAACATGTTTAGAAATGATTCACAAGAAAAAGAGAGTGAACGCAAAAGAAAATTGGAAAAGAGTTAGTTACTGAGTTTGGGATGTAGCCAATAGCGTGAACCCTGACATTCCCAGAAATAGAAAACGTGTCGACCCTGGTCAGAGGAATTCTGTGTTTGTATTCCAGCAGGTGAGAACCATTTACTGCCACCTAAAGGTAAAGACAGACATTCAGTTAGTTTATGTTCTTCAGCTACAGCAGCACACAGGCTGATGAAGGGCTGCTTCACCTTAAAGCCATTCTTGTTTACTAGAATGATGGTCTCGAAGGGGGCTCCGCGTTTGTAGGGCAGCTGGTGGAGCGTCTCCTCTTTGCCCCACTCCTCCTGCAGCAGGGAGTTACAAACCACACATGGGGAGTCACTGAAGCGAGGGCTGAAGTGGAGAGCGACGTCTGAGCGTGGTTTGGTGCTGCAGCCGCTTGACAGGTCCACCTGAAACCTGCAGAGAGGACGAACACACAAGTCATGGCTTAAGTTATAAACATACACTCAGACATATAAATATATCCATCAGCAGTGGCACAGGATGATGGTGTCCATGCCATGCTGCACTGATGCAGTAATTCATGCAACATGGGCCTCATATTGAGTGCATATAGTCTCCAGTGTGCCATCACACTTTTTAGTAGGCTGACATACTTTAGTTGCAATTCCCTTTTCATTGAACTAAATCAAGTTTTCAACTATACTCTTAATTTAGGCAGAATCACTGATAGGTGTGGAAAGTTGGGAAGGCTCTACTAAGAAGGTTCGAGTTTAAATGTTTCTAAACACAACAGACTGCTCTATAAGTGCTATCTGCTCAGTTTGATTGGAAAAATCACCTGTCAGCTTCTGGTGGCACAGTACCCTGGATGATGATGATCTCCCCTGGATGCAGGCCTCCAGGTATGGGACCAGTGTACGGGATCACCTGAAAAGGAAGGTAAAGTTAAAACCACTGTATCTATACCGATAGTCTGGCTTCTGCTTAATATTTGATTGCTAAAACATCCCTCATACTCGGGACCGATTAATCAAATGAGAACGGAAGCGGCTTAAACGGAGAAATTAAGAGAGTTCATTGGGAACGGCAGTGAACGCCAACAATAAACGGAACCTCTTACCGGATCCAGAACGGTGTGTTTTGCATTGGCCACAGACATCGAGCCCCGGGTGTCCTGACGAGCAGCAGCGGGTGACGGACGGCTGACAGTCGGTGGTTTCTGCAGTAAACAGCGGCAGCTTTGGGCTTTGCTGCGCTACCAGCTGATGGTACCAGTGGCCATATTTACTCCATCAACGATCAGCGCATGCGCACAATCTACCATGTGATCAGGCTTGCATATGAAAACAGGCTTGTTTTTTTTTTGTCCTGCTGTTTACTCATCCATGCTCAACTGCTACTGCTCAGAAGAGCACACATACGCTTGAAAATAATCTGAATGTGTGCTAAAAGTTTGAAGCAAGTTCCTTTGCAGCCAAACAGTCAACAAAAAAAGAAATAAGAATAAAAGACGAAATGTTAATTACAATATTGGCAAAGGAGAGCGTGTCTCCTCTGTTTTTTATTAGGATAACTCGTATATAAGTTGTATTTGAGAGCATTGGGAACAATCTAAAATAAATACATGAAATTAGCTGTTCATGCAAGGTGACTTTGTTATACTTTTAATATATATATGTGAGAAAGTGTTTACTGTTCTACATTGAATAAAAATCAATGTAGACTTTTTGTCCTCAACAAGCAACATGTTTTTATTGCTTTATATCAGAATTCCGAGTTGCATTGAATGCATCAAAAATTAGAACAGTTGTCTAAAATAGCATTCGTGGGTTGGGAGAACAGGTTTCTGTCTGCTGGTGACAAACAGACTGTTTAAGAGCAAGTTATGGGTCTTGGTAAGTGTGTTGAGCAGAATATAGTTTATTCTTTTCGGTGATATAGATACCTTATTTATTTGTCAGAAGCGGTTTAGGCTACTAATATGAGTTCCCGATATTTTGAAGACGTGAGACGATCAAGACCTGTGTTGTACTCGGGTTCAGGTTCAACCCAAAGCCGCTGCTCAGTCCACCCAGATCAGAACTGCTGACATCCACAACAGATTTGATAGACTTCCTTTTGGGAAGGAAGTCTATCTGCTTTTCCCTTTGGGAAAAGCAGATAGACTCTTCAGATATCTGCAGCTATCTGAAAAAGCTGTAGATAGAGGAGTGGGTGTGGCACGATCAGAAAAGCTGTCAGATTTCTGTTTGTGTGAAACTTTATATTGTGATTAAAAAAAAAGATTATTTTGTAGTATATTCCAATATAAAGGTGCAGGTCTGTGTCTCAAGATGCAACTCCTGCTGCAGAGCACATGCTCCAGGTGTAAACTAGCACTTCATTTACCTAAAGGTATTTTATTGTTGTTGCATTAATTTTGACTTATGGGATTTTCATGTGACAAAATAATTGTATTAAATTGTAGCAAATAAAATTGAATTTGATTTGAACTTTTCTGTTTTCTATGCATTTCAAAATCAATTCATTCCAGTTCAAAAATACTTTGTTGATTCTAGAGGGAAATTAAATGTTGTTGTAAGTTATTTAATTAAGATGCTGATGATGATGGCTGTGAGCAGTAGATGTCTGTATTACTATGAATTTGAAGAAGCCTCTGACTGAAGGCACTGATTTTCATTGCCAGTCTTCTGAAGAAGATGGTCAGGGTTATCCAGAATTTTCTTGTTTTTATGTAAAATCCTTTTTTGCATCATCATCTCCAGGGATTTTCTCTGTCATTCCCAATACAGAACCAATTATACAATTTATACAAAGATTCCTTAAATAATTTATATTATTATACAAGTTGTATATGAATCTATTATTATTTTACTGCACATTACATTTTCTATTTTCTTTTTCTTTTTTTAACAGAATCTGCTGCCATCACAGGAGGAGTAGGTAAGTTTCAGATGCTCGGGTTTGTCTGTTTCTTCATGCCATAACAGGACAAATTGGGCTACACATATTATTTGTAATATGTAGTTTTACAACCCATTGAAAATAAGTTAATTTTCAATTTGTGCATCTTTAAAAAAAAATAGGGTGAATATCTGATTACAGGTGCAAGGACAAAATCTTTTTACATCTCATCCTGATGAGATGAGGACCTATCAAAGGTCTCTCAGGATACATCTTGCATTTAGAGCTTCCCAGAAATAAAGCATCAGTTCTGTTTGGCTTCAAATTAAATAATTTTCTTGGTAAACTCACAGGAATATCAACATATATTCTAACATCAGTTATACGTGCTTTCCATGCAGTAGGAGCAATTGGTGCAGTGCTCATGGCCCCTGCTGCCTTGACCGCCATTGGTTTCACCTCAGCTGGGATAGCAGCGGGCTCCTACGCTGCGAGCATGATGTCTGCTACTGCCACCGCTAATGGAGGCGGGGTGACAGCAGGAAGCCTGGTTGCGATTCTACAGTCTGCAGGTATCTAACACTGTAGTCAACGCTACAGTTGACTTGATTCTGGTTTTAAGAATTATGCTTGCTGTTTTAAACAAGATAAAATACAGTTCTGCTCAAAACAATAGCTACAAAGTAGTAGCAACAGCAGTGATTTAGTTCATATAACTTTATACAGCTGTTAACACTCCCTAAGCTCTTAATGTGTTTGTTAATGTTGCACTTTTTTCCAACGCCCATAGATAAGGAAGCAGCAGAAATACACATTTCTTCCTGTTCATTTCAAATTGGGAATGTGTGAACTTTTATTGGCATTAATGAGGCTGTTCACACTACTATGTTGACTGTAACCTGACTTCAGCTTCGCAAACTCTGCTCAAAGGAAAAAAAGAAACCCACTAGAGCACATGTGTCAAACTCAAAGCCCGGGGGCCAAATCTGGCCCGCCGTAGCTTTTTATATGGCCCTCCACAGACTAGACTAAACACTAAGTGTGATTAAATATTATATTATCAATCATATCAATGAAGTTTTTATCTGTTTACTGCCAATTTATATCAATCAATCCCTCCAGTTTCTTGAGAATTTAGTTGATGTATGATTATAGTCCATGATTTATACAGCGAGTAAATAAAAAGTCTCATTCATTATTAGTTCCTGAAGGGACTGAAAAGATTATCAAAAATGTTATGTAATTTTAAGAATTCATTGATATATTAACAGTTTGTGAACACGCTTTTTGAACATGTTCTGGCACAACCGGCCCTTTAAGAACCTTCATGATCTTGATTTGGCCCAAAACGAAAATGAGTTTGACACACCTGCACTAGAGCTTATGTTTTTCCCCTTACAACTTTAATAATCCTGTTTGGTTGATGTATGGGCTTTTTTCCTGCAGGTGCATCTGGTTTTACAGCGTTTGCCAACACGGTTGTGGCCAGCATTGGAGGTGCTCTTGGAACCGTTATTGGAGTTGGAGTGGAAAGGCTGTCAAACATCTTTCAGAAACGAAAGAAACAAAAAAGAAGGGAGGAAGCAATGCAAGCCATTCTGTTTGGTGTCGCTGCAGGGGCTTTATTTCTCTGGTTAAAACGCTAATTATTATTTTTGCTTTCCCAGTATTGGTGACCTCACATTACATATTTCACTGGTGAGGAACTAAAAGAGCCACTTCATCATCTCATTTCTGTTTCATTGATGCTCCAGTTAAACAAAAAAAGACAGAAACCAACTTTCATTAATTTCTTTACATAAAGTTTAAAATATATTAATACCCTGTGTGATGATCAATACAAAGTGAAATAGAAGAAACATTATTCATGGATTTCTAATTGACTATAACGTAAAACTAAATTTGTATTAATTCCCCTGGGAGTATTCAGGGGAGTGATACAGGATCTATATTTGTATTTATTTTTTTCTGAACTGCCTTCCGCTACAGATTTGACATTACTTTTTTGATTTTGCTTTTTTCAGTTGAAACCAGAAGAATACATTTATCAAATAAGTATATGTAAACTTCTAGTTTCAACTGTAACTAGAATCTTAGATATTTAAGAAAAATAATTCCCTACTATCTGAATAAAAAAAATATTTATTCTGGTAAATGGTATGGAGTGTCATGTAAAGTAGAGTTTAGCCTCCCTCCCAAGGGAAGTCCAGGTTTAAGGAGTATCTAAATAACAAAAATGTTTTGACATTATAAAAAGGTTATATGAAATTAGGAAATGTAATTTTGACTAGCCTACAGTGTAAAGTACTGTGAAGCAGTAGTACTTATTGGGAATTGTAACAATTATCAGTAATAATCATGTTCAATGTATTTCCAAATTAGAAATGACCTATAACCTCAATTAAAGTTGATCAGAGTTTAATGAAGGTTGTTGACCTGTAGTGGTGTGATGAGTCTCAAGTCGATGGTAGAGGAAAGGTTGATAAAAAGAGAATCTGAAAGGAGAAGGGTGATTAACCGGAGTGCAAGAGGGGCGGGGGACAGAAACACACAGGAGTTGATTAACACACTATTGCTCCACTTTATTTTTGAAACAGGATTATTTGGATTTGTTTTTCCAATAAAGTTTGGGACAAAAATTCTTGAGTATAACTGGTTAAAAAAAAAAAGGCATATGATTAAATTTGCTGTCATTGTCGCTCAGATATTCATAGTGATGCCTATTAATCCCAGTTGTAGTAGTTACATTTACTGGAGTAATTTTTACTCTTAGGAATAATTTTACTAAACTTACTTTTGATTTTGTAAAAATTTCACATAATCTACTAACTACAATGAATTGCATTTGATGATAAACATTTTAAGGCAAAATACATAAGATACAGAAATCCCTCTAAACTTAAAGTGATTCTACATATAAGCTTTTGCTATTCTATAGTTATTTTCTGTCTGCTGAACCAGCTGCGCCATTTGGAGGACAGGTGCTCACTGAAATCACTTTAATGAAGCACCTTAACCTGTACTGTAGGTATTGGTGTAAAATATCTTATACAGGACCAAAGGATCTGAAAAATTTATTCTGCAAGAAATGTATTGCCATTTTTTGGTATATATATATTTTTTAATTTGTCTAAAATATGAAAAAAATGCACATAAGTCATGACAAAAGTAGAAAGCTAATTTTAGACGTTTACGTTTTTGTAATTGTTTTAATAATTAGGTTATTTTAATAATTAGGTTATTAAAACATTAAATCTTATCAGTTAAATTCAGTTTTTGAGTTTTACGGGATACTTTTTTACTACTGAATAATTTCTTGGCTACTTTTTGCTTTTACTTGAGTAGAAATATGTTTAATTAGTTTCGGATTCTCCACCTCTGGCTAAGAAAATCGAAACTCAATCAAACCGGAAGTAGTAGTATTTTTTAAGACGACGGTTTCTTTATGATGCGTTCAAAGTTCCTGTCCCTTTTTATTATTATTATTATTATTATTATTATTATTATTATTATTATTATTATTATTATTATTATTATTATTATTATTATTATTTACATTCCTGTCGGTAAAGGACTTCTGTCACGTAGTAGTCCTAATTCCGAGGTTCAGTGAATGGAGCAACCACATGTGTTTTGTTGAAGAAGGACCTGAAAAGGACAGAAAGGGACGGGGGACGGACGGACCACTGTTGGACCCATATTTGCATATACAGTGAAGTGTTCTTGTTTCGTTTTCCCACACAAGAAGTGGCGCAATAAAACGTCAGTAGCGTCACACGTAGCTCGGCGTGAGTATTTATATCTGTGAGAAGTTCACGTTCAGCTTACTAATAGACTATGCAGCCAGAAATAAGAACCGTCTTATTTGGGTGAGTACATCTAAAGTTTAGAAGAGATCTAAGTAATTGTGTTGATCGGTGTATTTTTGTAAGCTTTATATGTTGGTGTTGTGAAGAAGAAAATTTGGATATTTATTTCGAGCCGATGGTTCAACTCAGGGCATCAGGTAATTAAATGTCTTATCATCCAGCAATTCAGCTTTATTTAACAAATCTAAAGAGGCCTCTGACTGAAGACTGTGCTTGTTGAACAGTTTCCTGGCTGTCACAGCATGCGAATAGATCCAGGAAGCAAAAAAGATACATAGTATCATGTCATCATTTGTTGCTTCTTCATGGAGAAATGTTGTGTGACATTCTGAAAACTGTCAGAAAGAGCTGGATCTTCTTAAAGAGCCACAGGCCCAATGTCAAGTTATTGAACTGAGAAGTCAAATTTCTTTTTTTGAAATTCATGCATTTTTTTTTAATCTATAACATTTCTTTAACAACTGAAGGTAAGTTACTTGATTGTGCTATAACATGGCACTATGTGCCTTGAAAGTATGTAAGCTTTTTGTAAATGTAGTGCCTTTTCTCTGGTAAACATTTTTAATTTAAGGTTAATTGATGCTGATTTTTGATTGGAAAATATAATTTTGATGTTTATAGTTTATGAAGCAGTCACCCATTGGCTGTTGGAGATGGGCTTCAGGCCATTGCAATCCTGCGACTATGTGGTGTACTTTCTAATTTAATTATTTCCTCTTTTACTTGTGAAGGTTTTGATTTTCTTTTTTGCAAGTAATGAGCACTGGGGGCCTTGTTTGGTTGTATGGTATGCATGAAAAGTGCTCCTCAGAATAAACAAGCTCTCTCTCTCTTTTGCTCTCTCACTCTCTCTGTCTCTCTTTCTCTCTCTCTCTGATTTGGCAGCAGTAAGAACTGACGTCTCGTCCAGGATTTTGAGTCTCCTGTTATGAGAGGTTGACACTGAGACAACAGGAGACGTTTTTAAACGCCAACATGGCCAGCAACACTCTACGGCAAGCACTGATAGTCAACCTCCAGAAAAAGCTTATGTCATTGAGTAGAGATCAACTGCAGAAGATTGCATCTTTATTTGACAATGTTGATGTTTTAAGCAAACCAGAACTGTACAACCTGATTGTTGACTTCATCAGAAGTGAAAAACTGAGCTCATTGGAGGATGAAGGCATGACTCAGCTGCATCTCTTGAATGACCTGATTAGTGAGTTGCTTGCCTCTAATGTCGGTGCAGCTGACATTACAGGTGTGGACCCATCCACACCTGTAAGAACACAAGATACATCAGCCAGTCAGTCTGGATGTCCTAATCCTATCTATTCAGACCGGGATTCAGCGCCTCCTGATAAGGACACTCCCTTGCAGCCAACACATACAACCAGCAATGTCAATACTCAATCACCTGCACACCTGGACAGTGACGCTCACACCCCCATGTCCCAGACGGACAGCAATGGTTCTCCAGCAGGAGTCTCCACTGCTGCAACACCAGCAGAATCACCTACAGAAGGAGAAAATGGTAAGAGGAGTTCCTCTTCTGGTGTGTGTGACCTGATTTTTTTTTTATTAAATAATGCTGCAACTTTGTTTCCCCTCAGAAACAGGGACTTTTGGCTTCATGGGGGACAAGTCTCTCTTACAGTATTTTAGTTCTGATGTGTCAGAACTAAATGTGTTCATCTATGTAAACAAATAGATGAATGTTTATTGAAACTGATAAATACACAATTCTTAAGACAATGAAACCCTGCTACGTTCAAAAAGATGTTAACTTATAAGGTGACACTGATTAGCCAGAGAGATTTTTCCACTGATATTTCCACTTTCAAAACCATACTACTTGGACATCTGTTTTCACATTTAATAAAAAAAAAAGTTCTCCAAAATTTACATGTAATTTTAAATTTTCGTTCTAATAAAGTTCTTGATAATATTTTTTTTTTACATTTATGTTTTTTCACGAAGTTGTTGTGTTTAGATAATTATTGTGTATCCATCTGAAAATAAATCACAGTAACCCTTCCTCTGTTCCTGTAAACAGTGGAGGGGGAATATCACAGAAAGGAACATGTATTTGAAAGACTTGGTCTCCCTCTGATTTAGACTTTTTCTCTTTTTTAGATCCTCAGAAGCAGCAGGACCCACCAGCTCAGGACTCTACTGATAAAAAGTCACAATTAGGAAGCGGCAATAGAGGCTTCTTCTCAAAGCCAGCAGGTAGAGATATAAGTTACATGATCTAGACTTTATCTATATAAAAATATTGCTCATGAAGTAAGTAATTTGGTCAGATATTATCATACAGGACCAGTTTATCTCCTATATCGCTATATTTTTTATATTTTCACATTAACACATTTTTATCATAATTCTTTATTAAAACAGAACTGTTGAAACTGGATAGATAATGATGTCTTTAATGCTTGATGTAGATTGTTGCGAACTTTAAAGGACTGCACTGCAACAATAAACTCTGGCTGATTTAAGTATACAAATTGAACCCCAAAATTATTCATATCCTATCAGATTAAGTTTTCAAAATCATCTTAATGAATCACAGTTTTTGTTTTTTGTTTTTTTAAGGAGAAAGACATCTCACAGAAGATAACTCTACAAAAAAATCCCCATTTTGTTTTTGTACATGGTGTTTCTAATGGTGCTTTAAAGTAAAAACCATTAAGACGGTGTTTCGAGATTCACCAATCTGACTTTCTGTGGCTAGCAGTGATTTCTGCTGGAGGTAGAACTGCTGCTGATTAATACAAGTCACCTGGCCGCAGGTGAAAACTAACATTTTATGTTGGTGTTGTTTCAGGAAAACTTTTCATAGCAGGATCTGCAGGTAGGACATTTTTTTTTCTTCTTTTTATCCTTGTTATCTTGATATACTGAGGTGTTTTCAGTCTGACAGAAAGAACAGTTGTGTGTGTGATCAAGAAAATCATAAAGTTTATCACTGACCATAAATAGATCTTGTGACCTAGTCTGCAGAAACAGTTTGGTTTGTTTTCTAAAATCAATGTTTTATTATGTTTCAACAGTTTGTAATTTAATTACAAACTATATTTCTCTTAGCCATTTGTTGTTGTATTTTATTAACATGTTTATGTCAAATATTTCTCGTTCTAAGTCTTAGGGGGACTCGGTGCTGTGGCGCTGGCTCCTGTTGCTCTGGGGGCCATTGGTTTCACCTCAGCTGGGATAGCAGCGGGCTCCTATGCTGCAAGCATGATGTCCGCTGCTGCCATCAGCAGCGGAGGAGGGGTGGCAGCAGGAAGCCTGGTGGCCATTCTACAATCTGCAGGTACTTTGATTTGATTACAGCAAGTAAATAAAACAGCAGGTTTTATTTACTTGCTGTAATAAAACAAAATAAAGTTCAGTACTGTTCAAAATAGTAGCAGTCCAACATCATATGTGGGATTAGGTAACGTTCTTGATAGAAATTATGTTCTTACCCGGATGATAATTTACCAACAGGGGTAAATTAAGCACATGTATGCCATGTATTTGGCATACATGTGCTGGTGACATGTATTCATCTGTGTGTTTCCAGGGTCTGTTTTGTTTATTTCTTATGACTATAATGGTTACTGTGCATTTCTCTTTGGAAATCTAAGTAAAATGAGTCATTCCAGTTTGTTCATCAGATGAAACATGATAAAATATTTGATTGAAGTAAACATATGAAGAGGTCCAAGAATCAAAAGACTCTGTTACACTTTGAGCTTCCTTTTTAGAAAAATGTGTTGGTTCAAGAAGAGCATTAATTGCATGGAGTAACCAGCTCAGTCCGGAGACTTGATGAAGTCAGTTCATCCTGTTCCCATCATCTCACATTTGAACACCATTTGACATTTCCTGCAGGCGCTGTTGGTCTCTCTGCAGCTGCCTCTACAGCTGTGGCTGGCGTAGGAGCTGGCGTTGGAGCTGGCATTGGAGCTGGCATTGGAGCCGCTGCAGAGCTGGTGGCAGGGAACACCAACAAGCAAGAGGAGAACGAGGAAGGGAAAGAGAAGAAGGATAAGGAAGAGAAGAATGAGGGGCAGAACAAAGATGAGGAAGAGAAGAATGACGAGGAGGAAGAGGAGTCAGAGGGAGAGCACAAGAAGAAAAAATAGAACTAGAAGAAAGAAGGATTAGATAAAAGTGTGATGGATGAAAAACAACAAGAACTAGAAAAGTTATGTTCCTATTCTTGTCCCCACATAATTAGGGTGTCTTTTTTCACTTTCTGCATCAAGTTGTCTCAGTATTGACATTCTATCCTTACATTTACCACTCACTGGTTATGTAATTGAAGAGACCTCACACTACACAACTTCTAAGATTGTTGAAACACAACTGTTAATCATCTAACTATGAAATTATTCGGACATTATGCAACTAACTACTATTTAGCATTAATATGTTTTCTTGCCTTCATGTTGGACTTTGTTTCAACAAGAAATGAGACAAAATGCCAAAATCTAAAGCAATCATCTTGTTTTGTTGCTTTTAAATTACTTGCATAATAAACTTGTAATTTTTTAAATATACTTTTGCGGTATTGTGTGTGTCTTAAAAGAGTTGGTCATCAACCTTTTCAGTGATTCCTCAAAAATCAGAAAATGCAGTTTGTTGAGCTTAGTCCAATAGTAACACTAATTCATTTGGGGCTATGGGTGGCACAGGAAGTCTGTAGCTGGGAACTCTTACACTTTGATTAACATGGAAAACCTAAACAATTTGAATAAGTTTTGGAGAGGAGTAGCTTCCTCTGATGGTTTAAAACTTTGCATCAATTCAAACCCCATCAGAGACGAAGGAGAAAAGGTGGAAGCAAATGATGACTAAGATATTAACTGAATAGTTGCTTAGTTTCTATAACAACAGCCCTCTTTCTGGATTTTATTATTGAAATGCTATTATCAAAAAAGCGTTTTCAATAGCATTATTAAAAATGCTAGATAATTTTCAATAATTGAGCTTTATTGAAATACTTAATGTCACATCCATTTTTGATGTGACATATTTCGCTATGACTTACAAACAAGGCTGAGTGTTTACCAATGCTTCAAGACTGAGACCTCTGAATACATTAATCTGCTAAAATGTGCTGTGAATCCAGCATGCCGTCACATGATCATAATAATAGAATTTGATAGTAACAGTACAGTTTGACAGTGACAATTCTTAGAGTACAATATATGCGCTTTACAGATTTTACACCCATTTACTTTCAACTCATGTCGCTAGTTAGGGATTGACATAATCAAAACGATTAGCTCTGGCTAAAACTGCAGCATTCAATAAAATAAATATACATTATTACACAAAATTTAAAGAAATAAAGTCTTATTCAGTGTAGAATTCATCCATCATTTTAAGTCCTCAATACCAGGACCAGGCAAAATGGTTTTGTTTCAGTTTTTCCTATTATATTATCCTTTGCCGTTTCTCTTTTTGTTATATCTAAAAAAATACAAATGCATCTTAAAATTACAATATTAAAAAAAATCTATATTTTTGGCATTCATTTCAAAAAGTTCATTTTTGTTTACTTATCTGGTTGTTTTGTATCTTTTCTCAGTTTTCATGGTCTGTTTTCATATTTTTAATTGACAGGTTATCTATAGAGATGAAATGACATTGCATCACTGTCTAACTGGTCATAAAAACAACAATTAAATAGAAACATGTAATTAACCTCTTCAGGATCGTTTGCATTGACATGCCTGCTTTTCTCTTCATACTGGATTGGTTGGGCCTTTACTGGCTCTTTTACATCATTTCAACAAGAAGTGAGCCAAAAAACAAAAATTGTGGACCATATGCAGCACAATAGGAATATGTACCTTTTATCAGGTTCAGGAAGTTGCACATCTTAGTTTCTTCTGTATATTAATAAAAAAGTTCACAACAATTGTTAGGTGCCAACTCTTCAGCATAAGTAAACAATACATATTTTACCTCAACCTTTAATAGTTAATTCCTGCAACCTTACTGGGATCTAGCCACTTTTAGACTTAAGGGGGCCTTCCATGTTACATGTTGCAGCTTTCCAGGTACTTTCTTGGAGGTATTTTTTGGAACCTTTCTAAATATGCTTCAGAGCCAGTCTTTATTCTAAAAAATAATTAGTATTTAAAAAGTTACCTGAATGTTTCAAGAAAGTTCCTTGTAAGTTTGAAGAAAATATATGATGTTTAAAAAGAAACCTCTATGTTCAAGAAAGGTACCCATTAAATTCCATAAACACTGGAGAAATACTTTGAAAGGTGTGTAAAGTAACCACTAAGTCCTTAAAAGTACATGTTGCCTGGGTCCCAATTATTTCTACAAATGTGTCAGCAAAGACAGAAAAAAATACCACAATATATTTAAACACTTTTTCTTTATTGACTGATGTATTATTTACTTATTTATTGAGTGTATGTTGACATTTTACAACTGATGCACACACATACAAAGTTATTTTTTTTATTCCACTCTCTCAGAATGACGAGTAGAAATAGCATTCCCTCAAAATTTAGAAAATGCCAGAAGCGATATAATGACCTTTAACAAGACATGTTCACAGCAAAAAATCATGTGTCCTTCATTCTTACTCAGATTAAACATGTTTGAATTTCAGAATCTACTCTTTAAGACATGATTATATTATGTAAGAACAATATGACTGTAACTCTACTGGAATGAAAACTATATTCCTTGACTGTGCTATGGACTGTCTTCTACTTTTACAGTTACATTACAAATGCTTGATATCATATTCCCTATCATGCTTCCAGTACCAGCCGCTATTCCAGTTCCAAGCCATCCTAATCCTGCCGTAGCTGTAATGAAACAATACATTTGAGAAAAAGTCAACTTTTGCAGCATAAAGCAACCTTTAATTTATACTTTTACATATTTAAACGTCTTTTAAGTTTAGGCAAAATGTAGCATTATTTTCAAAAAGAATAATTTGATTCTCAAAGCAGAACACAGGTTTACATGTTGTTGCATGTTTCTGTTTATGAAACCTATCTGCACCTGCAGACCATTATATGAAAAGATAAAACATCATGCAAGTTATTCATAATTTCCCTTTTAAATTAAGATAGATCAAAAATTAGCTACATTGCACTGAATGAACAAACCAAACAAGCAGGTTTTAGTCAAGATGAGATGTCGTGGGTAAAAATCTCTGAAATTATCTGGCATAATTTTATTTATATAGCAAGAAATATACAACACATATACTTGCTGATTGGTGAGAGATTTTAAACTTTGAATAAATTAAGCTGAAACAAGTTTTACATTCAAATAATTTTTTTGTTGTTATTATTTTGTATTTCACCAAATAGTCTTCAATAAAAGTTTTTATTCTGATCTGAACGTTCTTGCTAGTCCTCCTACTCTTCCCATATATTTATTTTTTCATTTTTTTATTCTTTTTTACTTGATTGCATTTTTATCCAGGATTGTAGAGTCAGGAGTGTTTGTGCTAATAAAAAAAAAAAAAAAACTTTTAAAACGACATTTACCAGCAGACTGTAAGGTTGCCACCAGGCCTCCAGCTGGAATTCCTCCTCCATAAACGAGTGCAGATAAGGACATCATCTTTGCAGCGATGGAGCCTGCTGCAATTCCAGCACCGGTGAAGCCAAGTGCAGCCAGAAGAGCAGGAGTCAGAACCACAGTTGCTACACCTCCTGCACAAAACAATAGAAACGTATTAGTTTTCAGTTCTTACAGTTTCAGTTTAATTTTAAAAGATTCATTTAAAAAAAATGGTTTAAAAATAGAGTGGTAATGCCTTACCTGCACCTATGACGATGTATTTACCTGTCGATTTAAATAAACAGCAAAGTAAGTCGCATATACCAACAACAACTATGTATATATAGATATATATACTCACAGATTTCTTCCTCCATTCTTCCAGGGTCGATGTGCTGATGTCTATCTGATTTAGGAGGAATTGTGGGCTGATTTTATAAGTTTCGTTTCACAGGAAAAGGGGAGCAATTACCAACATGGAACGACAGGGGGCAGCAGAAGGCGGACTGAACTTGGTATGTGAGGGCGAGAATCTGTAAACTTATTTATTTCCAGGATCTTTTTAATCTCCTGTTTACTGCCCAGACTTAACTCATGGGTCTGCGTGAGTATTTTTCAAGTTATTATAGTATGTCTCTTCAGATGGTGGGCTTCAGGTCTGGCCTTTATTATTTAAGACAGGCACCATTCTGCCATTTTCCAGAGAGGACAAAGAAGCTGTCCAATTGGGGGAAAACAATCTACAAATATTCTATTGAGTTGAAGGATTGTTATTGCAAACAATACTATCAAATGAGTCAATAAAATTATTTAACAAGTTTTAGCTGGTGATATTGTGTCAGTTTTTTCCTCTTTCTTTTAAAATATATTTCTGAGGATGAGTGTTAGACTTGTGTTCAAAGGCTACATTCAACTCCCTGTTGCATGAATGTGGTATATTAGATCTTATCCCCATGGTGAGCAATGTGACAGTAAACAAGCAATGGGTGGCGCTAGAGGGACAAATGTCCCATCAATTTTCTTGGCTCCTTAAAGAAAATGTTTCTATTTTTCTTGATTTATAATTTGGTTTTACATTTGATCTTTTCTGCGAGTGGTTCACTGCTGCGCTGAATTTGTGCCATAAACAGAATGCAGAAATTAAATGTATCAGTGAGAGTATGTGTGACTTTTTGAACAGTAATCCAAAGTCATCAGGAAAGCACATCAATAGGGCCAGGATTGATAGCATTCATGTTAAAAGGTTTGAGTCCAAGTTAATAAGAACAAAGAGTGATGAGCATGGTTTAGAAAATTTGCTTACTGACTGTGATCTTAAACTGCTCTGGTTTTTGACACTGGAGTGCATCCAACACTCTTATTTTAAATTTCATCTTAATTTAAATGTGATTTGTTTTTCTTTCCCTTCTGTCAAAGTAGATGAGAAATTATGTGGCATCAAAAACAAAACCTGTTTTGTGTTCAAAGTTTTTTTCTCCCAACAATTCTAAAGCATCGTACAGCTGTGAAGTCAGTAATAAAAAAATCAACAACATGCAGCGATAACAGCTGGAGTGCAGCCAGAAGAGCAAGACTCAGTTGCAGGAGCCACATCTGTAACTCTGACTCAAAAAACATGACTAATTAAATCTTTTCCGTTCTTAGAGTTCCGAATTAATAACAAAAAAAGATCATTTAGGAAAAACATAAAGTCAGGTGATGACTTAGGTGCACTCATGGTGGCATATTTCCCTATTAAATAAAAATAAACCGTTTTTTAAATGCTATGTTGGATGACGTAAGAGAAATGGGTTGGGCTCTATAGATAAGGTTTCGTTTCTCAGAAAATTGAAGCAATTACCGTAATCTAAACAGCAGGGGGCGCAGGAGGTTCTGACAGGAGGAGTGTTGTGGCGCATGACTGAAGTCTTGAAGCAAACTTTTTTTTTCTTTGTAGGCGTCCTATTTAAAGCCCAGACTCAACTCTGGACGTCCACTTGAGAAACCACACACTATGGGTCTCTGTGAGTACAGCTTTCTTAATAATTCAAAACGTTATCTCTTTTTTTCCTGTTTGTTATTGCTTGTTTGTTGTTTTTTTAATACTTGCTTTGCTTTGGATTGATGAAAATGTTTTCTGCCTTGCCTTCATTTTTAGTGACAATTGCAGCAGCGTCAGTTCTCGGTGCTGGTGAGTCCACGGAAAACCTTGCGTTCAGTTCATCGCTATAATGATGTTTTTTAATGTTTTATTTTAAAACTATAACTCAGAAAAGTGATAGAAGCATTGTTCTCTTGCCCTCATGAGGCGGGGCGGTCATCGCCGCCCCTGTGGTTCTGGGAGCCGTCGGCTTCACCAGCGTGGGAATAGCGGCGGGTTCATATGCGGCATCGATGATGTCAACAGCGGCCATCGCTAATGGCGGCGGCGTGGCCGCAGGGAGCGCCGTGGCTGTCCTCCAATCAGCGGGTAAACGCCTAAAATTAGGTTTTCACGTGCAATTTGTCTCTCACAAACACAAACAAAAAAGAGAGATAACAAAAAAACAAAAGAGTGACTCATCAGAGGTCGGTGTGTTTTGCTCATCCTCCGGTGTTTCCCTGCAGGAATGGCTGGTCTGGGAACAGCTGCCACATCTGCCGTGGCCGGTGCGGGCGGGGTTCTTACAGGACTTGTGGCCCTCATTGTTTAAGATGCACGTCATTCCGATGAAAATAAAAACCTTTCCAAATGAAAATCAAATTGAAGGCAAACATTGTTGTCAAATGAAGAATTCTAAATAAACGAATTTGAGAAATATGAGGGTTTTTGTCTTTTTTTTTTTTTTTTGTCCTCTTTCTTCCATGTACAAAATATAATAGTCTAAAAGTAAACGTCAAAACATTTAACCAGGTTTCTGAAGATAATAATTATGTTTTTTATCCAAGTCTCTGTCATCCCATTTTGCTCTGTTTTTTCTTGAAATGTGCTCAATGAAAGCAGAGCAGGTCATGGTGAGTAATGTGATCATGCACATGCAGAGAGTGACGCTACCAGAAACAAGATGCTGCACTGTAAAAAAAAAAAGAAAAAAAAGTCATTTTTACGGTAAAATACTGTCCGCTGTGGTTCCCAGAATTTAACCGTTAAAATTACAGTCAGACAATTTTTACAATTGCTGATTCTACAGTAATAAATGGTGTTTTATTTAACCTTTTACTGTAAAAATGAGTTTTTAACCATTGAAATTTATCAAGTTTTATCCTAGAATTTCAATTAAAACAGTTAGAGTCATGAAATATGAAAGTATTTTGCTGTAAAATTAACAGTCTAAATTATAAAATATGTCACTGAATTCCTGTATAGTTACAGGGTTTTGTCTGTATTTTAAAAAGTAATTAACCGGCAGCTGTGGTTGCCAGAATTTCACCGTTAAAATTACAGTAAGATATTTTGATAGATGAGAATTGGTGTTGCTGATTCTACAGTAATAAATTGTATTTGTTTTTATCCTTTTAATGTAAAAATTACTATTATTACCATTATAAAAAAAGACATTTTGTATAAGATGTGGTTCATGCCATGAAATTTGAAAACATTTTACTATAAATTTAAGTTTTAACATGCTAATATGTCCCTAAATTACTGTGTTAATATATGTTTTGCCTTTATTTTTCAAAGGGAAAAAACTGTAAAAAATGTAGGATATTTATCCTTTTCTTTAATGGTAAAAGAGCACCAGTAAAACTACGGAAAAAAAAACACTTTTTGGCTAAAAATTAACATTGAAACATTAAAGAAATGTTTAGTCAGTGCAAAATGTGAAATTAAAAAGTGCAAATTTACTTGGTAAAATTATCAAATCGATTATAGCAGCTAAATAATGTGTTAACAGTTTTGTCAAATGGTAAAAACATGGAAAAGTATAAGTAAATTTTACATAAAATATCAAAAAACCAAACTTTATTGTATTTTTTCCATTTTAATGAAAACTTTTTGGGCTGTACAAACTTCTCACAACCCTGTGAACGCTGATTATATATGGTCATTGATAATCCTCTGATCAATACTCAACATGAAGCAGTCCGCAGTGAAGCAAGAGGAGGTTTGGTAAAGAAAAAAAGAATGTTTATCAAAACAAGATATACACAATATGTTTAAGTCTCAAAACTGCAATTATCTTGAAATATCTTATCGACTGGTCATATCAAATTAAGTTATACATAAATAGATACAAGTACATGTACGTTTTACTGTTGCAATTTTTCATCTTTTAAATTGTGTTAGTGATATCAAAATTACTTGTGTAAAGTAATGTTAGGGAACTGTTAATGTAGAGTGTTTCCTTTTCTAACAGACTGTTGTGTGTCCCCTGCACAGGAATTACCAGGTGTAAATGAGAAGCTGCACATTGTTGTCCTTGTCAAATAAACAAACATATGTAATATGATTGAAATTTGTCTTTGTTGACCTTTCATTTTCAATTTTGATCTGTAGTAAGGTGTAAAGCACATGTTTTTATGCAAAAGTTACACAAGACTTTATCTCAAAATGCTTACTATTTTGGACCCATGCAGCAACCAGTCTTCTGGCCTGTATGGGCTTCAGCACAGGCAGTAAGTCTCCTTCGGTGATATACTGAAAATCATCTGTGGTTGTAGTGCCGAGTTTCTCCAACACATCCTCTAAAGCAGCCAAAATCTCCTGAGAAAGACCAGGAAGCACTGCTCGACATCACGGATGTCCTTTTGTGTATCCATCATATCTGTTGAAAAACAGATGAGTTCACCAAACTCCAGTGACTATTGACTACAAATTAGCCCTTCTTGTACGTTATTCCATTATACTGCACATCTGTGGGAGTCATTGTATTTATTTCAGTGAACCCAAAATTAAGAACTGCACCTTTAGCTTCCTCACTGTACAGTTCTAAATAAAATGGTGAGCCATCTTTTATTTGCAAGGTTGGGAGTTCCAGCAGAAAGAAAGGCCTGTAACATTTGATGTCTCTCTGAAAGAGTCAAACACAGATTTTTGAATTTTTTCAGTTGTCTGGCACATCTTTTGAAGTAACTATGTTTGCTCTCCAGAGTCTGATGAGTGGACCAAATTTCAGAATCAGCCCTGGATAGTGCTGTAAATAATGATGTTTAGTTCTCAGTGTGTTATCTGGAAACAATACCTTCCTGGTTTCCAAATATTCCTGGATGAGAACATTCAAATATGCACCCTGAGGCTTGGAAATTGCTTGTCCACCGAGTTTCAGTGCTTTTGGAGTGACAGCACAAGGTTTGGAACAAGCATCTGTTGCTTTGTATTTGAATTGTCTGATGCGCCTGTTCAAAATTGTGTATGTCAGCCATTTCTTTTTGACAATCATGTATTTGAGATAAAGGGCAACATCATATGAGAGGACACCCTCGAATATGTCATGGCCAAGACAAGGGGGCATTCCTGGTGAACAAACATTAAAGTTTTCTAAAGTATTAAACACTGACCTGAACTTTATCCCCTGAACTTTTGTCACATCATCTCTTTCCAGCTGTTCAGTGACAGATTGATACGTTTCTGAAGTCCGCTCTGGTCCAATGATAGCTGGATTTTCACTCTGAAATTCAGACCGAGTAATCAGACAATATCTGCAGAAGTACTGAGATGTACTGAAATTTTCCGTAAAACCCCCGATGCAGTGAGAGACCAAGTTGTCTCCAGCAATGCAATACAGTGCTCCTTTCACAACTGATTCATCTGCCATAGTTATCCCATTCTCCTCTAGTAATTCAAGAGAGCAAAAATATTCATATTTTTGGACTTTGTGGGTAAAGCAGAGTATCCAGAGTTTCCTTGTGCAGACAGACCCAAGGCTGGGATTCAAACAAAGGACTTGCTTGCTCCTGTGCTACCAACTGACCAAATACAACCATTTGCTGAAAAATAATTGTCACAACAGCATGCATTTTTAACAGCTACTAACTGTATTATGTAAGAAAGATGATTGCAAAAACTACAGTATGTACTACTAGAAAAATTACAGCATATTACTGTTAAAAGTAATATATGATTTTATTTTACAGCAGGGCAATGTAAATTTTATGAAAAAAAAACTGTAAAAATAAAATTGTTTCTTAATTATCTTATTTACAGTAATTACTTATTAAAGAAACAGTATAAAACTGATTTCCAATTTACGGTTTTAAATTTTCCTTTTTTACTTTATTTAACTGTAAAATTTACAGATTTTTTTTACAGTGCAATTCTTGCAGGATATTAAGTGAACTTGTGATATTTGACCTGATATCTGATTGTGCACAAACTGTTTTCTGCTTTGGTCAGAAACAGACCAAACACTCAAGTCACGTGATAAAACATGTTGCTTTAGTGTGAAATATAAACGTTTTTAAGTTTATATTTCAAATGAACGTAGCTTTATTGTGCATGTGTCATTATTGTGCCTTTGCAGGATTCTGCTGTGTTGTGAGTTGCATTGAGTCACTAACATGTAAAATATTGGGCTTGTGTTTCGATTATCAAGAAATCCCAAATAATGTAAAAAAATACATCAGTCAAGTAGATAAGAAATTATGACGTGAGAAACAAGACATTCATGATGTCCTTGTTTACAGTGAAATGAGAACAATGCAGTACATGCCATATGTCAGGTTTTCTTTGTGACAATGCTCCCATATCTAATTTGTGCATCAATACAAGTAGTTTCTTCCAAGAACCCTAAAGCGATTCATAGCTGTGAAGGAAATAAAAAACAAGCAGCTTAAAGTGAGTTAATTTAGTTATCTCTTTATTTGAAGCAACATTGAAATATATATTTTTTTGCTTTAAATGCCATTATTCTTGCAAGTAGAAAAAAGATGTGGTGTTACTAACTGAAGAACTGAGGTAAACATTACAGTCAGTTTTAAAACCTGGCAATGTGCAAAGATTGGGCATTGGTCTTATATAGTCACACCGCATAAATAGTCAGAATGTAATCATATTTTCTCTTGTTTTTTTAAATGCAATAAACATAATTAAGTAGCAGAACTAGTTACCAGTATGTTCCTGTTAAACACAAGAACAGCTGTTCCCTGGGGTGTGCTCTTTCTTTAATTTACCTAATGTACATTGTTTTAGCTGTAGTCACAAAACAAATATTTATTGAGATAATCATCTCACATAGTGAACACACTGAACCTCTCAGTCATGCTCTTTTTTTCTTCTTTTTACTTTATGCAAGTCTCTTTTAAGTTTAAACTTAAACCATGTTGAGTAGATAGAGCCTGCCACAAATACTATGGCTAGTTAGTATGGCTACCAATGATGGCAGATAAACAATTTTCTGTAAAAGTAAGTAGTTTTACAGTCATTAGAACATTAAACAGTGCGTGCACAGGCTTGATTGACAGCAAAAAAGGACAAGGGACTTTTTGGCTCTGATTGGCTGTTTTTGACAGGTGTGGTGCATTTTTGTAGATAGCAATAGCAGCAGTGGGAGAAGATGGAGGAGCTTGTTTTTTTCACAGATTATCTGCCTCATAAGAGATGGTGTTTGAGAAAATATGTAGAAATTTGTAATTTTACAATTACATACTGCAGCTAACAGGTTAAATACAGATCTTAGTTTTCTTCTCACATCTTTCCACTTTATTCAGATTCACAATGTTTTATTGTTTAGGCACCTTGATCCCGAAATCTCATCTCTTAAAAAAAAAACAAAAAAAACATGGAGAATCATCTAAATCATTTTTTTTTTATTTCAGACTGAAAGTAGTGTCCACATGTACAGATACAAACATGTTGCTTAAAAATATTTTATTTACTGCATCATC